AATACAGATGTAAAGACGAGTATGACATGAAGTGCTGGCATATTGTATTATTCCTTGCAATTTTAACCCTTGCAAGGATAATTTGGTGATTGTTTATTGAAACTTAAAGAAATGCGGGCATAAAGTTAATTTTAAAAATTAGCTTTCATGTAGCTATATCTTTACTGAAGTGATTTTGAAAGATTTTGAGCTAGCTTGCCTTGAGGATTGGATAAATGTGCATGAACTTCATTTCAGACTCTTTTAATTTTCCCATCTTGCTACCTGGAAAACTTAGTGTCCAGAGGGTGGAAAGTGATACGTTTGTTCAGTCCTCACATTTTATTTCATGTACCATTCCTATTGAATTTGGAAGGGCTGTTGGTTCAGCAAGATGTCCTTTCTCCTATACCTGCTCTGTTCCACAGATAAAACCACGAAGCCCTAGATGTGCCACAGGCAATACGGTATTTGCTTTTCCCTGCATGCTGCGGGGTTTTCTCACATGTAAATTTGGTGAAAAGGTTTTCCTTAAGAAATTCATATCCTTAGACATGAACTTTGAAGTAGGATTTGGAAATTTGGCATAGCTGCTTTCATTTTAAAGTTCCACTCAAATTTCACAGCTACAGTGGACTTTAAAAGCAGTATACTCACTGTTTTTCAAACTTTCTGGCTTACAGCAACTGGCTAAATTTTGTAGTGGCAGTCATTAGACTGTTAACTGAAGTACCTTCTAGGCTGCCATCTGGGCCTGCAGTTTTATTTCCTTTATGCATAGATTTCTAACAAAAAGTCTTTTGTTTAGGACTGTAGTTTCCCTGAAATAGTAATTCTGCTTCTGAAACCTTTCCTGTGTATGGTTAACAGATCCATCAGCTGACCATAAGATCTCTGACACTGCATACCTAGATGTGTTCCTAGCACCACCTGCTCTTCTCCTTCTTGTCTTTGCTCCCACCCCAAATTTTTCTGATTTAACTGTTTGTCTGCTGTCACCGTAGCCCATGTCTGTGACATGATCTGAATTTACAGGAAGTTCAAAACAAGTTCCGTTTCACAGATTGGGATAAAGGTAGGATTAGTTGAACAGCTAACTGCACAAGTGAAGCCCTGATGGCTGGGGGAAGTAAAAGAACAAGAAAGAAATAACTGGAAGTTGGAGTGAATAGAGAAGTATTTAACTGTAGTCTGTAGCAATGAATTCTTGTGTGATCATGTGCTTAAGTGATATTGAATTACATCAACTGTTACGTTACTTTAATTAAAGTTACTTTCCAAACTTAGGTTCCTTAATTTTGCATTCAGAACGAACCCCTCAATTACAGATGTCTGATAGCATAAAGATTTGCTATTTGCACACTTCTGTTTGTATAAACTGTGGGAAGACAATTCTCATTTAAAGGTAGAGCCCACCTGCTCGTCCTGTCTTCCTGCAATTGCAGATTTTCCATGTGCCAACCTTTTATGTCTGGTTTTGGGCGAAAAGCTGTGGTGCTTACTCTGTATAGGTTTGTCAGTTTAGTAAAATGCTTATAGCCACATCAGGAATCCCTCATCTACCTCTGATCTCTTAGGCTGCTGTGAAATTTCTAGTACTGAAGGAATGGAAGTTACATATCCCACCAACACCCCAAATAAAGGGCAGTTCTCAAATTTTGGCATATTTCCCCAACTGCTACAAGTAGCAAGGTCCTTTGAGAAGGAAGAGGTAATTTAAGCTGAAAACTGGTGGGGCAATTTGAACAAAGGGGGAATGAATTGAAGGAACAGAATGCTGGGAGAGTCAAGTGCCAGGAAAGTTTTATCATGAAAAGAAGAGACAGGTGAGGGAAAGAATTGGATGTAGCCCTGGAGCTGGAGGAACTGGGGCTACTGAGAAGGGAAGCAGGATCTAGAGATAAGTGGGAAGACAAGAAAAAGCAGTCCACAGTCTGAGTACAGTTTCATCCTGTGGGTGAGTCAGTCTGACTTTAGCTTTGCTGCTGCGAGTTCCTCCTGTCTGGCCTGCTCGTGGCTGTTGGTTCCTTCCTTCTTCCCCCGCAGTGAGGTTTAGAAATCATCTCTGACTGTTCCCAGGGACCAGCCAATGGCAGTAAATTTGCAGTTCTCTGGGTTAGATAGGCAGTTGCTGTATTCATGCAATTCAGATTTTTATTTCCCTCAATTGGATGCTGGTATTTCTGAATTAATAGTGTAGGAAGATCCTGAACTTAATCCTAACATGTAGAAAAATTCCCAGATAAATCTAGGTTTAATACGTAACTAACTAGTGACAAGCACTGTGAGGCTCTGTACTTTGTTTAGTCATTGTAGTGGACCAAGTTGTAATGAAAGTGGAGTTGTGCAAGTAACTTATTGAATAGTTTTATTTCATTCTTAATGGCATTTCTCCAGAAGATGCCATCATGAATGGTACTACACATTTTGAAAAACTAAACCATTAAAAATTAAGCATTTTGGATGCCTGTATTAAATATTTAACTTAATCGATTTTTATAAAATTAAGCATGTTCTTATGTAGCATCTTATGCCAATGCAGGAAATGGAAGAAATGGAAGAAATAGTAACGTGAGGTCACTCACATAAATTAATAATTATTATTCACTTCAGTCCCATCTCTGACAGAGGTTTTGTAGTTCCCTTTTTTAAAGGGAGAGATGAGTTTGGAACTGACAAATTTTTAGAGTCGTAAAAGGGGCTGTGTCTGTGTTACCAAGCAGTGGGATATAATTGGATGAGATCTGTCATGTGCTAAGAACCTGGCATCCACCCTATACAGGTGATAAGGGTTTTATATCAAGCTGGTCCTCATCTGATTCTGTGGCTAAATTCCTGTCAGTGGTTGGAGCTTGTACAATGGACACCTGAAGCTCATTCTCTGATTTAGTTTTACTTAAAAGAAATCTGGTTCATGTAGTTGGAGACTCCTTTGTAATGTAAAGCAAAGCAAGGAAAATAGGGTTGTTTAGGAGATTGACTTCAAAAGTGCAGCCTGATTTGAATTAAATGCTAATATAGACATACCTAGACTGATGCAGATCTGGAAATTAACTAAAATTTTGTTTGGTAACAGAGCTTGTATATCTGATACATGGCAGCGGGATCAGGGAATGCAAGGAATGCTTACAGAAATTGTCAGTTACTAAGAATTTCATCAATTTGGGAGTTTGGAAGAAAACATCAGGAGGACATCAGTTCAAAAATAAACAAAAAAGGCCCAGACTGGCATTGTTCAGAAATGTCTTTACCCTTGTAAAGCAGCCTCTTTAAATAATACAAAAGTGGCCTTCATTTAAATTTGATACTAGGTACAAGGGGGTTGCAGATGCTGTAAAAACAGAAAACTCACCAACTTTTTCTGGTTTATAGTTGTTTCTTACGGAATCCAGCAGAGGACAAACTCAGGTTCTTTGGTTATAAAGAGGAAGAGATGGATATATTTTGCAGATTCTTTAAAGAAGCAAAAATAATCTCAATAAACATTTTTGCATGGAAGAATGTTTTTTCAGTTTTACCATGGAAGAAATAACAGTCAAGTGTCAGCCTGTCTGCTCAGTGGAGACAGTTGTCTTTAAGAACTCGTGCTATCTGATATTCAGGATGGTTTCAGGTTACCATTTTACACAAATTTATTATTTATTACCGAGACTATTAAACCTCAGTGTGTGAGGAACAGTGCTTGTAAATGGACATGGAGACAGAAGTATTCTGACCTTCTTGTTATGGTAAAGGTCTTTATTGGTAGTTAGGAAAAGAGAAGGAAAGTGGATGATGAGACTCCTCCTCTGCTGGACATCATGCAGGCACATGGCTTGTCTTCCCTAGTACTATTTGCCTTGGCATTCAAAAATAAGTCTTTACATCTATACACTTTAACAGCACAGCTGGATTACTGAAATCTAAGCCTTCATGTTACTTTCAAGGTCTTATGTCTGAAGTTGTAAAACTGAGATTTGTAAATGATAAAATTCTTGTGTCACCTTTTTGAAAGCTTTGGATGATGGAAAAATTCAAAAATTGTGACACTTATAAAATGGGAATAGCTGGCAATAGGTGATGCGTGCTCAAGATGGAATTGAAGTAATAAAGCTGGTAATCCTAATGTAGCTATCCACAATGCATTTGAAAACACTGAGACTTGACACAAGTCAGACTTGCGCACAGTTGTTGAAGAGTGCCGGGTAAGAGCCTGTGCTCTGCTTTCCTCTAATGCTTGGGCATATGTCAGCTCAGAAACACAAAAAAACCCAAAACCATCCTGTTGCCAGTACTTTCTTCCAAATTCGTGTTTTGCTGCTTCTCCCCAGGAGTAATTATGCCTGTGTGCAGCTACAATAAGCCTATTGATTATTTCTCAGTATATCACAGTTACTTCTGTGCTGGAATTAATGTGGTCACACCAGTGGATTTTTGTTGTGAAACTGCAGTCTTACAGATTCTCCAGTGCTTAATAAAGACTGGCTTGGGCATTGTTTGTGTTTTCCACTGGTGTCACTGCCAAAGTGTCCTTTCTCTTGTCTGCTCACCGTTTTTTAAACCCAAAGCAACAAAACAAACCCACCCATAAAAAGCTGGTAGCTGGAAGCTTGCAAATCTTGCTGGTATAGATCAGGTGAATCCAGGAGTTACTGAGAGAGAGCAGAAAGGCTTGTTCGCTGAAGATTTTTAACATCCTTCCTCCCTGACATCATCATTCATCTAAGACAACCCTGTATTTAAACAAAAAGTTGGAAATACCTTTCTTTTAACAATTATTTGAGTGAATAGATTAATGATATAATTAAATTAAATTAAAATGCTTTTTAGTGTCAGTATTTTACAAATATATTGCAATTGTTCAACTGTTACAAATGCAGAAGTCCAAAGTCTTTCCTAGCTAGGAGCAGCTCATAATAACAGATGGCTTCTGTAATGCCAGATACCAGTATCTGCAATGTACAGTTCACCTTATATGCTCTAAACTGTCAATACAATTTCTTCAGTTATCTCTTAAGTCAGTTTTTGTTCCTGTTTTACAGATTAGTAGAAATATGCATCTCCATAATATTACCTTTGAACTAATGAAGTGGAAGTACAGATGAAAACAGTCTGGAGGAAGCTTGAAGTACAGTACAGTTTCATTCAGTTTCCCAATTCTGAGGTAAGATTAATGCATGCAAAATTTTATTTCAAGTATTTCAGGCATAAAAAGCATGATAAGCAGCCACCCTATTTTTCTTGTAAAACTTCTGTATGCTAATGATAGTCTTTAATACTGTACTGAAAGTATGATCTACTCTCTGTCCATGTTTCACTTACAAAAAAAGATAAAACGGCAATTACTGAGACATTTGTTACAGAAAGATATGTTGGCAAAAAGTTACCACATGAGACAAATTTTATATGATACAGTCTGCAAGCAGAGCAACAAGTAGTATAGGTTTAACATACTTATATGCTACTTAAAAGCAGGGGACATGGGCTTGATTCTGAAAATCAGGGAGTTCACACTGGCACAAAACCAAGAACTAATTTTCCTCCTTTTGTCTTCTTGAAAAGGAGAGCAGATCATTTCTCCTCCAGTGAGAGAGACAGTTGAACAATAAATAACAGTTCCTGGATTGTTTATCAATAGAGGACTCTGCAGATGAGGCACTGTCTTGAAAGATCATTCTTTTTGTCTATCAGAAAGAACAGTTTCTATTCTCAGGCTTGTGAATACAAGCAAATTCCAAAATTGAGATTAAGTGTTTGGGGAACATGTGCATATTAATAGAAGACTGTGTACTTTAAGAGTTATTTGTAGCATTAAATAGCTTAACCTAGATGGTCTGCCATGGACACTAGAACCACACCAGCCATTTAGAAGAGCGATTGATGTGCTAACTTGAAAGGATAATCTCTGTTTGGTAAATCTCAGGGTTTTATAAGGTATGGGGTTGGTAGAGGGTAAAGAATGGGTCATCACAAACCAGTTCTTTCATCACTCTGACCTCTTTTCTCAATGATCCCACTCCCATTTAGAGCTGGTGCAGTATTTAGCGAAGTAGTGCTGTAATCTTTGTTAATGAAAAATCTCACTCCTTTCATATAAGAGATTTGAGGGAAGGGCAGTGCTTGGAGACGCCATGTATAGGTAAGTTCTCTGAATAAAAAGTACCAGTAAATGCTAATTGGTGTCTTTTGAGATACCATCTGTATTTCCCTCTTGAGTGTCTTTCAGAGCTATCCTGAATTGAAGTGAGGTAAAAAATGCATGGTTGCCCTGCTGTTATGCAGAAGGAAAGAGAGCAGAGGGATTTTTGGTGATACTTATTGTTTTGCTCATATGGCTGGGCAAAACCTTTCTGGTGTCAAGCATCAGGTTGTATAAGCATGTCGATACAGTTGGGTTGAAAACACTGGGTGCAATATGATTTTAAAGGGAAAAAGCAAAACAAACCCAAGACCATCACCCCCAAACCACCTTCCCAAGATGCTTCCCCCCACCCCACCCCCCCTTCTTGTCTACTTTCTTTTAAAAAGTAATAGTACTAGCAACAGTTGAGGGAAGGAGGTTATATTATGATTTCCCTGTATGTAAATAGCCTATCTGGCAAAAACAAAATGGCAACACCACTCCACCACAAAATCTCTGTACCTTGATACAGTGTGTCCTGGTTTTACTAGGTATTACAGGTTTCTAAGTCAACAAGCACACGAGCAGTAAGAAGGGAGCATATCAGATCCAAATAAAAATAAGTCCTTTTGCTAGTAATTTCTATTTCTGTGTATGTTTCACCTCCTGCTTTCAAACCTTTGTACTTGAATTTCAGTAGTCAGGCAACAAAGACAAAAGGAAAAAATAAGGTTATGAAGGCCAAAAGAGGGAAAAGCTATAAATACCTGTGGACAGAGCACATCGTCCCAGGTGTTGATCAGACATTTTACGCACTTCCCAAGTGAAAGATCTGTGGTATTGTATTTCATAGTCTGACCTCCTTTCAAGTGTATTTTTTTGAGCCCATTTATGACTTGACACCCACAAAACCCTGTGAAAGTGAGTGCTTTAGTTTTAAATGTTTGTTATATACAAAAGGGACATTTTGTTTGCATCTAGAACTGCTGTCTTACAACTTTTTTATTAGTTCCTAGTTGGTGGGCAGAGGGAAATTGTGATTATATATCTTTGGTTATCTCCGTGTTAAGGTTCAGGGAAGAGGATCACACAAATCTCTGACAGTTCTCAATACGGTTTGTTTTAATATTTCTGTAATACAGAATATCTCTTGTTATATGGCCCTTCATTGTCCTTTTGCTAGTACTACTCTGTTTTTTGAGGCAACATCTTACTTAGTAGGGTAAATGTCTTTTAATTGTAAGTGTGAATTTGTGCAAGTCTTTAGCATTTCTAGTGTGACGTAGGTGTTCTCTTTGGGGTATTAAAAACTGGGTTTGGATGATCTCCCTTCCCCCCCCAGATATGAAATATTCCCTTAGTTTGACTTGCCTGCTGCAAGGCATCAGCTAGGAGATTAAAGACCTGATTGACAGTTTAGGAATAAATTCCTACTTCTCAGCTTCTAGTTTCTGCAGAGTTGTCATCTTTCTGTCTTCTCCCATACTGGTGGTGGTAGAACCATCTTTTCTCATGAGTTTGTTCGTTCAGTAGCGAAGAACACATGCCAAAGTGTTTCAGAATGAAATCTGCCAGTGACAAGATGGAGTTCCTGCAATGGTTTTCTTGATTAATCATCAAGACTGCGTAAGAAGTCCGTTCAGTTAGGAAGCAGTTATTCTGTAAAGTTGGGTTAGCTGTCACTGAATTTGCTTTGCTAGGAGTTAATTCCATAACAAACAGGCTGAGCCACTTCAGGCTTAAACCACAAATGGGAAATGCAGGTCAGTGTGCTCAAAGCATTTTCCCGGAGTGCAGTAGCCATAAGTCAATGTCATCTTTTGAATCAGTTGATAAAAACAAGAAGTGCCAGTGATGCTACTTCAGAGCTGCTCTGTTCTTCAGTGTGCTATCACATGTTTTGCTGGTCTTTTGACCAATATCCTCCTCACGGTGCTTTCCTTACTTCCATTTGGCCTCATTTATCCTGGGTTGTTCCAGGCGTGTGACTCAGCATAAAACAAGAGCTGTCCCTATTGGACCAAGATTGTAAGGTTCAGGAAAGTCAAGTTAAGCTGTCCAAGTATGCCGTCATTCTACTGTTTTTATTTTGGCTATGTTCAGCTCAGAAGATCCTATTGAATGTGTAACAGATCACAAAGAAATCCAGACAAGTTTCTATGTAGTAAGAGGAGGCTGTATTTTGCATATTATCTGTGTATCCGATGAGGTGAACATTTGTTTCTGATCACACTATTTTAAAGCTGCCTTAAGAAGTCAGTGACGGACTAGGTTCCTCTGAACTAGGTTTAATAGTAAAGAATATTTTCTCCATAGTTTCCCAGGTAGTGATGTTATAAGTTTCATGAAATGTTAGATGAAATGTTTCTGAAGTGTTGTAGTTGATATGGAATTGCATGGCAATAAATCCAGGGATACAGTTAAAATGTAATTTAAAATCATAAACAGCTACTTGTTAACAAAAACCTAAGGTTGATTTAGATAAGGGTCCTTGTGTGATACCCTGTATCTTCATAAAAAAACTGTGTGATAGAAATTTGCTAGTTTTGTGATTTCTAATCCAGGTATAAAATATCCCTAAAAAAAAATAATGAAATGTGTACCATAGCCAAGTCTAGGTAAAGAAGGCATATTTTTTATCATCTCTTTAAAGTGTGTATGTTCTGCATTTACAACACAATACAGGAATTTCAGAATCTTGAGTAATAATTTGAATATTTTAAAACTTAAATATTCTGCTCTGAAACTTTTCTTTGTTAAAATATTTCTGATGAAAAGTAATGGTAAATAGATAACAATATTTGTGAATATTCATGAATTACTTCATCATCTGGTATGTAATTTACATGTTTTTCCAATTTTTGAAAACAGGGAAATCTGTTGTGCAATAGAATGGAAAATAATTTCTTGATGGTACAGGTTAATTTAAAAAAAAATCCCCTCCCCCCCCCCCCCTTTTTCCCATGTGCTTTGTCATGAACTGACTTGGTATAATAATGGCAGTAGTTATTTCCGATACTGTAATCGGAATATTGGGATGGTGTTTCTACATGTCTAGGGAAGAAAAGACATAAAACACTTGCTACTATGTGCAGGTACACAGAGTCTTAAAGTATAGACACCATTTAAAGTCTTAGGATGCTAATAATTTTGCTAGTTATACTTAGAAATAAGCCTAAGTTGCTTACAAAGTGAGAAAACAGAATAACAATATTCTGTTGTTACAATGGAATGGTTTGAAAAGAGTGAAAAAAAAACCCACCCCAAAACCCAACAACCAAACAGATGAGGTGGCTATATGCCAAAAGGTAGTAATAGTACAGTTGTATTTACTAATAATCCAAAGAGCAAGCTAACAGAAAAAAAAGGCAAGATCATAGAACTATAGAATAGAATCATGGAACAGTTTGGGTTGGAAGGGACCTTCAAAGCTCATCTAGTCCAACCCACTGCAGTGAGCAGGGACATTCTGAACTAGATAGGTTGCTCAGAACCACATCCAGCCTGGCCTTGAATGTCTCCAGCAATGGCACATCTTCCACCTCTTTGGGCAACCTGTTCCAGTATTTTACCACCCTCATTGTAAAGAATTTCTTCCTTGCATCCAGCCTGAATCTCCCCTCTTTCAGTTTAAGACCCCTCATCCTATCACAACAGTCCCTGCTAAGAAGTCTGTCCCCATCTTTCTTATAGGCCCCTTTTAAGAACTGAAAGGCTGCAATAAGGTCTCCCCAGAATCTTCTCCAGGCTGAACAACCCAGACTCTGTCAGACTTTCCTCACAGGAGAGATGTTCCATCCCTCTGGTCATTTTTGTGGCTCTCCTCTGGACCTGATCCAGCTGGTCCATATCCTTCCTGTACTGAGGACTCCAGAGCTGGATGCAGAGCTGCAGGTAGGGTCTCACCAGGGCAGAGTAGAGGGGCAGAATCACTTCCCTTGACCTGCTGATACTATAGCTTGGGAAAAATAAAGGCAGTAGCCACAGTTCTGGAATGACTGATGAAGCAAGGGTGATGAAGGCAAAAGGTACTTTAGTAGTAT